AAACGCACGGGACTGCCACACAGACGATCATATATATATATATACATATATTTCTGTATTTCTCATCCTCCTTTTGGCTGTTACCTTCGCGCCTCCACGCTTTTGCAAGCTTCGCACTCCCTTTTGAATTCAGCGGTGGAAATACCCAGGCTTACAGATGTAACAACATGTAACAGGATAATGTAGGGAAAATATATCTCACCAAATAATAAAAGTCCAGCAAAACCAGTGAGAGGCAACCATCATGTCACTAGTCCTTCACACTTTCACCACTCCCTTACACACGCACACACACACGCAGAGTTGCTTCTTCCACCGCGCGCATGCTACACATACATGCATATATAATATGCCGCCTTACCCAATCAACCTTTCTATAACCTGCAAGCCCCAGAGTCCACTTTTTTCTCCCTTTTCAGCGCATCATCATTTATCTCCGTTTTTAGGCTCCCCTCGTAGTCACGTTACTTGAAGCCAATCATATCTTTTTTTTACTGTTTTTTCTGCGTGTGTGTGCGTGTGTTATCCATAAACCGCAAACAGCGGAGCCTTCTCAGCTCTTTCTCTCAGCTTTTGGGTTTAACGAACCACGCTCCGGCCTTCTGGGAAACTCCGGCACAGCTCGCCTCCCCCTTCCTCTCCAGACCATTAAATAAGCATATTGAACAAACAAGCGAGAGGACGAGTAATACCGCCCATTGCCAACTCCGTCCGTAGAAAATATTCTTGTATGGGTCGCGCCACAAAACGCCACTCTAATGTGAAAAAAAAAGTGGACCGTATAAGAGCTGAATCGGACTTCTGTCGCCTCATCGGTGCCGCTGATTGTTTCCCATTTGCTTTTTTTTAGTTACATATATATAAGTGTGTGTGTATACATATATATATCATAACTAGTTTGCATTTTTTCTTGGGGTGCTTTTCCCTGATCCTTTTTTTTTCTTTTTCTTTTTTTTGCACCTTCAGCCCCAACACGGCCCTGACTATTCTTCCTTCCTTTCACCCGACCGGACTCGCGTTGCCGGTTCCCGCTGCTCCTGTCCTTGCAAAGCACTGTTACTCCTCGCCTCCCAAATGGCGATCCCGGCATCAAGAGTAGACATTTCATTCACCATATTGGGTGCCCCGTTGCTGTTAGAGTTGCTCATTCCGTGTCCAGTTTCGAAGGATCCCATGCTTGCGCCACTCTTGCCGCTGTTGTTCCGAGGGTTCGGCTGCCGTGAAGGCATCTGATTGTAAACTCCCGACGGGCTACCAATGGGACTGGAATAAACACGCTGTTGTTGTTGTTGTTGTTGTTGGTACAACTGGGGGGCGGTGGGCTGCGGTTGTTCCAATGGTGAATACAAATCTCTTCGATTTCCAGGAGAGTTAACGTTTTCAAAGCGATTGGCAGAGGAAGTGTATGGCCCACTCATAATGGGGGGAGATTCCATGGAGCCGCCTCCAAAGGGCGCCGACACGTACCGTCCCCCAGCGTTGGCAGAAATAGGCGGGACGACATTGGGAGAGGCACCAGGCCGCACCATTACCATTCCACCTTGCTGCGTGCCGCCACCCATTGAGCCTCCAAAGTTGTATTGATTCATGGGAACCTTAAGCTCGACGGCATATCTTGCTTGCTGTTGAAGCTGCTGATGCCTCACACTGTTGGGGGTGGCGAATTGTACTCGCAATGGATTAGTCTGAGGAGGAACTGTATGTTTCTCGTTAAGCGCGTTTATGGCATTCATAGCCATCTCATTCGTCTCGTAGCGCACCCAAGCACTTCCCTTTGAACGTCCCAAGGGATCACGCATAATTTTTACCTCTAAAAGCTCTCCATATGGCTCAAATACGGGTCGCAACTGTTCTTCCGTCGTCATGGCGGGGACTTGTCCGACAAAAAGTTTGCTTCCAATATGGATGTTCTTCCTAGGATCATTCGATACAGGAGTCGGGGAAAACTGTTGGTACACATTGACGGGCTGACCAGTACCACTATTGAGCGTTTGATACTGCATCATCCGTGGGTTTTGATCTTGCACGTTTGTCTGCTGGCCATAATCGTTGGGTGTGTAACCTGCACGCGGGTATTGGTTGCTGCCGCTGTTGTTGCTCGAAAACGGCCCATTTATGACTGCCGCGTAGTTCATTGTCGTTGCCGTCGTCGTTGTTTTCTCACTGTGTGTTATGCTTCTTAATGCTCGCTTGTATCTCCGGTTCTTCTTGCTTAAATACAGACAAATGGAACCTCAAGTTTGGACTTTAAGTCCTCACTTCTCCGCTGAAGAACGCCTGGGAAATTTGTAATTGCTCAAGAGACTCTTCGTATGGGCGACTTTCTTCGCTCTGTTTTTTTTTGCTTTTCCCTCGCTTCGTTTTCGGTTGGTTGAATGTTTGGTTTGTTTGTTTGTTTTTACTCAGCTCTGAGACAGCGGAAGCGAAGAAAGAGGAGCGCAGTACACCGGACGTAGGTACAGGTCGAATACCCCAGGCACGCACGCAGAACAGCAACGACAAGGAGATAAACACACCGTAGAAAACAGTTTCTACGAACATTGTCAGCAGCCATCTTTAGCGGCTGAGGGAGTCCCGTTGAGAAAATCAAGTAAGCCTTTCCCCTTCCCACCCACACACACACAGAGAAAGAGAGAATTATATACACGTCAAACGAAAAAAAGAAGAAAAGAAAAACTCTCCATACAGTTGGTATAAAAAAGATAAAAATAATAATAATAATGCAAAAAAATGCAAAAAGAAAAAAACAACACACACAGATAAATATGAGGCCGAAAATAAGAAGAACCTCACTTACCCAAAGAAGATTTTTATCGGAGCTGTGTCAGAGTAGAACTGGTGTCCACCACAAAATTCCCAAACTGAGGTGGTCGTTTTTGCGCAAACGCTACAGCTGCCTCCATGACGTCCTCACATGCTATATTTGCTGCACTCCACGACGCTGTATATTCTAGTGAACGCTCCACATCTGGTTGCGTCTGATGATTCATTAGCAACTTTGTTCCTTGAACGGCCAAAGGTGAATTTGATGCAATCATTGCGGCGGTTTTGCGCGCTGACTTCATCATATCTTCCCGAGACTCAAAAACGTCCTCCACAAGTCCCATTTGTTTGGCCTCCTTTCCAGTAAAAACGCGGGCCGTGTAAGCTAACTCCCGTGAGCGGCCCTCCCCCACAATGTGTGGCAATCTTTGAAGGACACCGAGATCAGCTGCTAATCCAACTTGAGTCTCCTTTACGGAAAATGAGGTCTTTTCAGTGGCATACCGGAAGTCACAAGCCGTAATAATAGAGGTAGCTCCACCTATGCAATAACCATCAATTGCACATACAATAGGAATATGGCACCGAGCCAGTGAAGAAACACTGCACTGGAAAAATCGAATAACGGCATGTTGCCGCTGAAACTGCATCGCCGGCATCCGCGTAGTCTCCGTCGTTTTTCCACCCATATTCGAGAAACCCGAAAGCCCCTTTTGTAACTCTTGTAATTCTTTGAGGTCCAAACCAGCAGAGAAAGGAGTTCCTTCTTTTGACGTCAAGATTCCCACCCGTGCAACGCCATTCAGCTCACTTGAAAGATAATGCGTCACCTTTAATAAAGAGGCAAAGTATGATCGATCCAAGAGGTTCAGTGGGTTCTTCTTATTGTTCACTACGATTTCACAAATCCCTGTCTCTTTGTATACATACAATTCAAAGGGCTCAAAAGTCGCCAATGGAGCAGAAGTTCCGTAAAGACAGAAGCACCGACGCAACATCAAGGTGAGAAAACTCCTTGTGTCAGTTTTTTTTTATTCAAATGACTTGCTTGATTTTATTTCCTCTTTTTCTTTCCCGCCTACGAAAAGGAACTGTTAACTAGGCACTAATAAGAAAAAAAAGTAAAAAAACGAAAACAGAAGAGAAAATAATAATAATAATAATAACACTTAAAAGCCTCTCCTTTAGCTCAAAAAAAAAATAAATACGCAAATAGTCAGACAGCAGCAGCTAAAGAAAATGAGAAAAAAAAACAACGATGACAATTAATAATAATCACAACTTCATTGTTCCTGTACATCGAACGTGGCACTGGGTTTCAGCCAGAGCCTCAGAAGATTTGGTGATAAGGGAAAAGGTACAGAAGGAAACATCGCCGAGTTCCCGTTTTGGATTGTAAGTCAATGAAAATACAACCTGACCACCTGATGGAACAGTAACCTTCATAGGATCTAACTTCCAACCATTTTCAAGGTATGAATCGCTCCAACCGGTAACAGTACATTCAAAATTTGCACCTTGTTTGACACCTCCAACTATTATGGTCTTTGTTTCTTCTGGGGCGCAGAGAACCTGAATGGGATAAGCGGCAGAAGGGCCTTCTACGGGGAACACGTCCGACTGTAAACCAGTGCACAAGAGAGAAGAAGGTTCTGTCAATTGAGTAATTTGCTCTGGAAATGTAAAAAAGACGGATTTTGCTGAGGCTCTTCCTTGAAGAAGAATTGTGTGGTGATACGCACCTGCGCTTAGATGAAGACAGACGCACAAGTTTCCCACTACTCGAGGACAAAAAATAAGCCTCGTACTTACTTTACAATTAGCAGGAATAGTAAACTGATCCGATTCAATAATAAAAGAATACGCCTCTGGCCACTTCGGTTCCTCACCCGCGGGAGATAAAAGTTTGGCAGTTACATTAACAGGTAACGAAGCCAAGTTATGAACATACAATGAGTGACTACTTTCTTGTCCAACAAGCACAGTATCAAACAAAAACTGCTCAATAGACTGAGGACGGTCTCCTGCAATATTACTTTCTCTGGCTATTAACAAATCGGCAGGTCTACAAATACCAGATAAAACAAGTGTAATATCGTTCGCAGCAGTAGATGCAATAGTCATGATGTCCCTGAAATTACCGTACTCGGTAGGAATAAATCTAATACTCATAGTACATTCCTCGTCTTGAGATAATTTCACGGGTGGCAATTTTGCTATTCTAAATGGAGATAATGTGTCAATCGGTCGCACGTGCAAATTGATAAAGCTCTCGCCATTGTATTGCAAAACACAAGTTTTTTCACTTATTTGCTTCAGCGGTACTTCGCCAAACTCAATATCAAGCTGTGTACCAATCACAGAGGTCTCAACAAGAGGTGTTTCTTCTATGATATTTCTCAAAGGAGGAGACTTTTTTGAATTTCGCTTTGGTAACTCTTTTCGCACCACCATTTTTGGTACAACGCGTGAAAGGTATCTTGCAACCAATTTTGGTTTCACCACCGTACAATTTACTTGAAGCAAGATCAAAAACTTTTCTCGATCCGTGTTGCTTGTACATTTCACAAAAAAAGTAGAATGCCTACTCCATTCTTCACCTACTGAATTACTCTCCCAATCCTTGTAAAGTGCATCTACGGAGGCCGGATCTTGATCCCGAACGCCTGTAACTGCATTTGGATTATCTCGTTCTTTACGCTTTTTCGATGAACTCTTACCACTTGGACGAGAAATATTTTCTTCAACAACCACAGGTGCAGGTTGAGGCTCTGGTGGCCTAAATAACACAACAATTGAAATGCTCTTCCCAGGAGAAAGAACCCCTGATGAAGGAGAGACTCTCAAGATATCATTTGGCAAACTCAAACGAAAGCTTTGAGGGGTTGATCCAGTGTTTTCCAATACTGTTGTACAATTCATTTCGGCACCTAGTGGACACGCTGGAAGGCTAAGACAGGGCCTTAAAAATCGCATACCATTTTTACGACCACATCCAGTAAGTTGTACACTACGAGAGTCTCCATATTCATTGGTCATTTTTATAACCTGTGTGTAGTGTCCCAATGTAGGCGGTAAAACTCCAACCTTAAGCTCAAACAATTCTTTCGGTAATAGCGTTAATGTTTGAAAAGGTTTTATATGTACGTTTTCAGGAAGTTTTAAGAAACCTAAAGTTTGAGGCAAATCCGATAGGTTCCTTATTTTTAAAGGAAGAATAATTTCCTCTTTCATACCCGAAGTGCCGTAGTTCAGTTTGTTTGGCTCCAAAGTAAATCCTCGCTCAGTAAGCTGAGCCTTCAATGCGACTGATATGGGTGATGCTTGCCCTGACACTGTCATTTTAATAACAGAAAAAACATGAGAATTCAAACCTCGAGAAGGTTTAAATAATATATAAAGCTCAAATGTGTCATTTGCTTGAACACATGCGTTTTCCGGCGAAAAAAACACAGAGGACAGCAATGAAGGTGAAATTTCAGGAACCACAGTTACCGACACATTTGTGGCATTCGTTATCAAAATCTTTTCACAATATGTGTTTTCGTAAAAACACCACCTGAAATCTATTTCAGATGCCGAAGAAATATAAACGGGAAGTGAACCTCCAGAACCCTTTACAGAAACACTTTTAATATGTGTTGTGCCTTCTGAATCGTATCGAAGTTCAATTTCCTCATCCATTCTAATTTCTTCGTTTGGAGAAAATGTCAGCTCTAGACGACACGTCGAAAACGGATTCACCAACAACTGATATGCCACAGGCGTAATACTAAGAACAGGAGTATCAATACCATTTTGAAGGTCCTTGTGAAACACCTCCGTCCATTTTCTGAGAGACCCGGAAATAAAAACCTTGGCAGCAAGTGCGCCATCATTCCGCAAAGTTAATACCTTTGTCGATTTTTCGCCAAAGGTAACAACGCCAAAATCAAGACATTCTGGAACAACTGAAACACAAGATCGTTTGCGAAAAGCTTTTACAGGGACAAAGAAAATTCCATCCTCTGTTCGAAAACCAATCGCTGTTTCCAAATCTACATTTTCTTCGGGAGTAAATTTCACCTGCACTTTCCATGATAATCCTGTTGAGATTTTTGGTGGTGGTACATATTCAATGTATAATAAATCCCTATATTTTATGGATATTGGCAAAACTCGAAAGCTTATAGATCGATTTGCACAGTTTGTCAGTAAAACCGTCATTGTGTATGTTGTGCCTACAGAAAAGTTTTCAAAATAAACAGTTTTGGGGCTTGGAATAAATCCCAAAAATCCATCATGCTGTGCGACATCCTCAATACTTTGCAAACTTGAGGCAGCTCTTTTCGACTCGCAATGGTAGGCCTTTTTGGGCTTAACTAAAGTCTCCTCAGCCGCATCCACATTTCTGTAGCGCTCGTCACGAAGCGTTCCATCCTCATAGGCTAAAAACTCCATCATCAGAACTCCTTACAAAAATAAAATAAAAGAAAATAAACAAGAAGAGAAGAACCCGAGTTGACAGACTTACATCACGATAAAGATCAGAATAAAGACAACAAAACTCGCGCTAAACCAATAAAAAAAAAGAAGCCGACAAAAAAAAGGGAAAAGAAAATTTAATCACTTGCAACGAACTCCAGCCATCAAAAAATAAAAAAAGAATTAATGTAACAAAAAAACACTCCGCCCCCGTTTTCAAGGCGTCCCTCGGCAAAAGTCCCCGCAAACATCTCGCGCCACCAAACCCCCGCCGCCCGCCACCGCCGGGCGCCCACCAAGACGGGGCGGCCCGCCACCACCGTCTTCTCCCGGCGGTCGCGCGTTTCCGGAGCCCCGCACGCGCCCCGCCCGGGCGAATAAACCGGCCTTGGCGTTATTGCTTTTTGCTGCTGGTGTCGTTGTTCTTGGTTTTCGTTTTTTTTTTTCTATATTTTGGTGTAGCTCGCTCTAGCTGTTCGTTCTTTTTTTTACACTGCCGAGGTTGTTGTCATTGCTGTTTACTTGATGTCCCACCTTTATCTGTGTCGAAGGATGGGTGATTCAACGCCTTTTGACGTCCCTCACCCCACCTAGCCTCAAGCTTTAAGCGGGGGAGCGGGAGGGGGATGTTTAACTCCCAATGCAAATATTACTTGTGTCGTCTTTCTGTGTGCGTGATTGAATATGTGACTTTTTTTATTTTTATTTTTCCATAGTTCTTCTATAAAAAGAGACCAAAACTATTATCATGTCGGAAAATTTCCTTGTTTTTGGGCTCCCTTTTTTGCCACAGTGCACTGACACGCTTCCATCCTCTCAGTTCAAGTGTCTCGTGGCAGAAATGGGACCTTTGGGTCAAGCTCTCCGGCCGTTCGTGGTCCCTACGCTGAAAGTGGGAACCCTCGACTCGTTGATAGAGGCAAGTGATGAGCTCGCGAAACTTGATCCACAACTTGAGATTACTGTGGAGAAGTTAATTGCCCTTATGGAGGAGACTTCTCAGAAGCCACGAAGTGTCGTTACTGCACTTCGCATTAATCAAACGCAGGAAATGACTCCAGCAACATACATAAAGAATTTTCTATGGAGTTCGGCGCAATTTGACACAAGGGAAAAAATACATGTCTTAATAGAGAAACTATCTCAAATTTCGGCATCAACAGAGGAGCGTGTTCGTGTGTTGTTAACTGAATATAATGATACACGAAATAGGCTAACAGCTGTGACTCGAAAGGCCCAGGGAAATTTGTCTGTGAAACCCATTCGGGAATTGGTTGCCTCGTACAATCAAAAGTTTCAGTGCTTTGTGGACACTGAAATGCTTGGTACATTATTCATTGTTGTACCTTTGGCCTCCCAAAAGGAATGGCTTGAAACATATTGGTCTCTCAATGAATTTATTTGTCCTCAATCAAACCGTGTGATTGCGGAAGATAAAGAATGTGTTCTTAACGGGATTGTTGTCTTTCGAAAAGCGATGGATGATGTCAAGATGGCCTGCCGAAAGAAGCGTTTTACGGTTCGGGACGTGGATGGGGTTGATGATCTTACGGAAACAGAAATAAAAGAGTTGAATCAGAAAGCTGAAAAGGAACGAAAAGCGCTTTATACTGTGCTTTGGCAACAGTATTCTCTCTGTTATGTGGCGTGGGTGCATGTAAAAGCACTTCGTGTGTTTGTTGAGAGCCTGCTCAAGTATGGTTTGCCTCCGCGCTGCATATCAGTTGTATTACAGGTGGATAGGAAGAAAGAAGCGGAAATACGAAGGAAGATCTCGCAGATTTACCCCAATTTAATCTCTCCCTTAGCGAATGAGCCCATAACTGATACTGGAATGCTGCAATATGAATATCCTTATGTCTCGTTGAAGGTAACCAACTTTCAGAAGGAATAGGAATCTTTTCAAGACGAATTGGTACATTAGGCATTAATCTTGATTTTCGCTTCTCACTGAGTTACGTCTCTTGAGCGTTTTTTGGCTCATATATATATATATATATATATATATATATATATATTATTAGTAATTAGTTA